TTTTTTTTTTCCTATAACATATTGCACCGATATTTGTGGTTGCAAAAACAAAACGAAAAAAAAAAAAAAGTTTAAAAAAAAAATAACTCATTCCACTGTTACGCGGTATCCAAATACATATTCAAAAATAAAAAGACTGTTGTTATTCATTGTCTCTTTATCAAACATACAGCACTTCCTTCACCCTTCCTCGATGCCCTATCTTCTGTACACTTATATCCATCACCAAACTTTTCTCATCCTTTTCCCATCCCATCGTCTTGTTGTAATGAGTATTCAAATGTACAGTAAAACAATAATTGTTTTTTTGTTACTTTTTTTTCCTGTTTCTTATATATTCTGAATAAAGATAAATATATTTCATATATGGAAACATTTGCATATCTGTGTACAATAAATGTATTTCCATCTTTCAATTTTTGTTTTTTGTTCCGCTTCTCTACTGCTTTCAAAATTTTCACATGCTAATCATGCATTCAACAAAAAAAAAAAAAAAGAAGCAAGCATCAATGCATTAGGAAACAAAATCAAAAGTGATTTTTGATAGCAAAATAAAGAGACGTAAACAGAAATGGTGTTTACAGCACCAACAATGAAATAGTATAACAGATATTAAAAGTCAATAACAAAAAACACTGCCGTTACTCAATCTGTATATTCGGTATCACTAATGTCACGGATAGTTTTGGATCTGCTTAAGGACTATTCGCATTTCTGCGTGTTTGTGAACGTCGACGTATCTGTACTGCTTATTTGTTCGCTTCAGTTTCAATGTAATACCAACCTACCAACTGACTGATACCGTCATCTACTGAAAAAAAAAAAAGAAAAAAGCGATTTACACAAATTTTTTCAATTTTTTTTGCTTTAGATTTTAACTGGTAACAATAAAAGAAGGAAAAAAGCAAAAAATATGGAAGGAAAAAGAAAGAAACTTCTTTTTTCTTTAGTTCTTAGAAAAAATGAAGAAAAGAAATTTTCTATTCAATCGTTTTCCCCAAACGTTTTTTTTTTTTGCTAATTTTGTCGCTTTGATTGTTTTCTGATTTTGTTTCATAAAAATTTTTTTCCTTGCTGTTCAATTTGGTAACAATTGCTGTCAGCCAAATTTTTGTCAGTATTTTTGTTGGTGTTGGTGTCGTTGATTAATCGAGGTCATTTGGTAAATGAAACACTGGTAAAACGATACATACATTTTATATGCATGCCAATTTTCAGGTTACAATTTTTTGTTTATTTATTTTTTTTTTTTACCCTTTAGCTTTTTGGTTTTTGTATACGTTTTTTGTTGACCTATCAATTTATAACTTATATCTGCATCAACATTGACTTGATCAATTATAATTACTTTTTCTATCACTTTTGATACCGTTTCACCGGCTTCTGTTTTTTTTCGCCCTTCATATTTTTTGCCTTTCTTTTTTTTTTTTTTAGCCACCGTACGTTGATCACTGAACTGTGTATTTTAGACTAATTTCCAGGCGAAAGTTTTCTTACAAAAAATGCTTGCTGAAATAAAAAAAAAACTAGAAAACAAACATGCATTATTTTGGTATTCTGGAAAAAGTATGACATTGTTTTTGCAAAAAAAAAAACAAAAAAAACAAAAAAAAAAATAAGAAAGGACAAAAAAAATGAGGAATATGAGGAGAATATTTAAATGGAACATTGATGAACTGGTTGTGCGATTACAGTAAACCGGTTGAAAACCTTGGAAAGTTGCCAATGACCTGTTTTACTTTGCTTTCTTATCAGTTAGTCAGTTTGATGTAAGCAGAAGAAATAGGACTATGGAAGAAGAAGAAGAAGAAGAAGAAGAAGAAGAAGAGGGAGAAATAAAAGAAGGTTTTTAGAGGAGGAAGAAGAATGCATGTTATTTTTTCCTTTATTTTTTTTTGGAATAACAAAATTAGTTGATACTTTAGTTTACAAAATGTTTTCATTTTTTGTTGTTGTTGTTTTTGTTTTTGTTAATCTGTTTGATCAGTTTGAATAAGCTGAACAAATATGTGGATATGTTTTTTTGTTTTGTTATGCTGCTTAGCCAAATTTTTCTTCTTTTTTTTTTTGCCATTGGAATTTGTTGCAATTTTACAGTCAAAAGATAATAATAATTAGTGCAGAGTCAATTTTTCAATGGCTTCTTTTTTTCCGATAAGAAGAAAAAAATTGGAAAAAAAAAAGCAAAAAAAACTTGTAGTATTTATGGAGCACAGAAATAGGGTAATTGTAGTTGGATATTTTGAAAAGATAATTATTGTTTGGCCAAAAAAAACTTTTTTTTTTTGAGATTGAAAAGATGGTGATTTGGAAAAAGGAAGGAAGTCAATGTTTCAGTAGTATTTTATTTTATCCTACCTTTCCCTATAAAATTT